TGCCTGGCGGCCGGAGTGGCCCTCGGGCTGCGCGGGTCAGCCTCACTCCGACACGGTCACCGCCTGACCCAGCGGCGCGCGGCCACATCCGCACGTTATTATTTCCGCTCGGAGCCCGCTGGCATACGCTTCTATGTTGTGCGGACCACCAGGCGGGCGGTTGCTGGCGCGGGCTGGCGCCCGGCGGCGACCGTGGCGCGGGAGGCCAAGACGATCTCGGCGCAGTGACCGCAATCGCCGCTCGTGATCCGGCGGGGTGGGGCGAGCGCTGAAGCGAGAGAGCGGCGTGGAGGACGAGATCGGTAGCAGGGTTAGATCGATGGAGGAGAGAGCCGCTGAGCTTAAGGAGGACGGAAATAATGGGATGTGGGACGCAGGGGAGCGTGCACATCCGCGCGAAAGGCTTGTGGCAACATGTGAGACAGGGTTGTGGATGCACGCCTTATCCAGAGGAAGAGTATAATTACTTGTCCACTAATACACTTTGTGATGAAATTTGTTAATAATTAGATAGTGGAAATGCATCCGCTCATCTGCGGTGGTAAAAAACCAAGTGAATGTACCGCAGGTGTGTTGTGACAAAATGGCTTACAAATGCTTTATGCAAACAAGGGACGGATAAATATCGCGATTAGGTGTCTGACAAGCCGCCATTTGAATAATAACTGTTTATTGCGTCTAGCTCCTACTACTGCAGTTCCGTACACTTATCAGAATCAGACGCACCAGCTAGGCAGCGTTCTGCTGTCGCATTCAGCACTCCTATCACTAGTGAGAATGATACCAACGCCAATCCTATAGTGGCAGGCAAGGCACATGACGAAAGCAATCTTTGTCAACCACAAAATCGTTCACGCGCGACATTCAATCACTTATCAAGCAAAATGCTCCCAGCACTTTTTCTCGGAACATCCTTGATTGATTTGATGATCTACCTATGATTTGATAATCTGCTGACTAGTAGCGTCATTTTCTAACGCCAACCACGTTCGAGCTGCGAAAAAAACTGCTGCCGACTCATCTGTCTGCCCCGCCGCCCGCGAGCTCAAGCTTCCACCGCTGCCCGCCTGCCGACACAGGGCACGACTCTCGCGGCCTGCCAGGGTGTGGCGCCGCGTGCCACCCCGCCACGGGTCCCACGGGCCCGCCGCCGGTCCCGGTCCCACGGACCCGCCGCGGCGGCGCCGACCAGCCGCGCACGCCGCCAGCAGCGGCGCTGTTCTCAGGCGACGGTGGTGGAGCGTGACGGGGCAAGCCGACCGGTGGCAGGGCTCCGTGGACGCCGAGGAGACACTAGAGAATCCGGCGCGGGGACGCCGCGGAGCTCAGGGGCCGGCGGCAGGGCTCCGCCAGCGCCGAGGAGACATCAGAGACTCTGGTGCGGGGACGCCGCGGAGCTCAGGGGCCGGCGGCAGGGCTCCGCCGGCGCCGAGGAGACACCAGAGACTCCGGTGCGGAGACGCCGCGGAGCTCAGGGGCCGGCGGCAGGGCTCCGTGGACACCGAGGAGACACCAGAGACTCTGGTGTCTCCGTGGACGCCGAGGAGGCACCAGAGACTCCAGTGCGGGGACGC